TATAAACAAACATATATGAGGATGGGAAGTTGAGAAGGGTACTGAAGTTTAGAATTGGTATTATTGTATTGAATCCATTGAATAAGTGTGTTTGACGTTTTGATATACATGATTGGGCTCCTACATTTAGATATGTAGATAGACAGAAAGATATACAGAAATATAGATAGATATATAATAAATATACATGATTGGGCTCCTACATTTAGATATGTAGATAGACAGATAGATATACAGAAATATAGATAGATACGATAATAAGATATAGATATGTAGATCTACAGATTGAAGCGAAATTTTGCGAAAAAAGCGAAATTTTTTGGGACACCCTGTAACTAAATGCTACGTATTGAGTAAGTGTTAGATGTGCACACATGATTTGACAACTAAAAAGAGTTGTTAACGGAGGGTATACACTTTCAAACCTATGGGGATACACATTATACATTATGGACATGGCGAGGGGGGGGGAGGGGATTTAAGAAAGGGGGATTAGAGGGATTTAAAAATCTAAAATCACCACCGCTCAGACTGAGACTCACGTTAAACTAAAGTAAATTTCACGTAAGATTGAAATGTTATCAATCAGAACGATTTCTAATATATATGATCCAAATAAATTTGCTTTTCTCATACTTGCATGCGTCAATTCCTAATAAAGACACGCAAATCTGCCCTTTTAGTAAAAGTAAATTCAACCTATATGAAGCATAAAGTCTGACCGCGTCAACCTTGTTGCACCGACTGGTCCTGTCCATAGAGCTAGGTATAGTACAAACTGGGACCGGAAAGGTTGACCCGGCTGCCCGTGACGAGGAACTGCTAGGTCACAAAGTGTTATCAATAATGTAGATCTCTCTTCAATTTGACCTTCTCCTTCTGTCTAGTCTAGTTCAGTGTGGATTTAAATTTTTCCTGTATTTTTCGTTCTTCCTACAGGTTGTGTTTCGTTCACATGTTTAAACAATTTGGAAGATTTCTCCCGAAAAATAGAAAATTACATTTTTTTAAATTTAAACGTAATTAAATGAAAAATTTTTTTCTGCTAAAAAGGCAATTCATAAAAATGCACATAATTACCTACAGAAACAACTTAACAAGTGGATGAAAGA